TGGTTAGACCATGTCAGTGCCATGTTAAGTACTACACTGGGTCTGCCGGAGGCACTGCAAGCTGGTGGGTGTTCAGGGAAAGCAGTTTGAACGCATGCTCTGTGGATTCAAGAGAAGTTCAGTCCTCGAACTCCCACCTTGGAAAATTATCCCAAAGAAATAAATCATGTGAAGGAAGAGGTTCACTTCAGTATGTTGGACAGGGAAAACTTGAAAGCAATCCAACCACCGACAGGAGGAGAAGAGTTAAGAAAATTACAGCCTCAATTAAATCATACAACCACTAAGCAAATAAACATGAAGGCAACAGTGAACTCATGTACGATTTAACATCAGTGTAAAAGAACAGGAATGAATAATCACAAGTCCAGGTATGTTAAAAATTTCTAAGTAAATACTTAAGAGCTATGAGAAAAAAGTACCTACAAGTCCACTACCCTATTTTGCACTCTCTGTGGAAGATCACTTAACAGTGAAGGAGCGGGAGTGCCTGTAAGCTGTTGCTGCCCTTGACCGCAGGCCCAGAGGATGAAGCCGGCCTGACTGGGCCTGGGCCCCCCGCTGGCTTCCCAGAGGCCTAGCAGCTGGAACCAGCTCCTCAGCAGTAACTCCGGCTTTCACTCCCCTGGGTGCTCTCTAGACCATGGCAAGAACCCCTGGAGGGCCCCCAGGAGGAGGGGGAGTGGCCGCGGAAGCCCGCTGACAGGACCTCTCAGTGTGTACACCCCCTTCCCTCCCTGTCCCGTTCCAGCCCAAGCCAGAAAAGGAATATAGCCTTTTTATTGACTACTTTTAAGTAGAACAAACTAAATACATATTTAACAGTTTTGGTTCATTTATACAGTACATTAAATAAGTTATGCACAGAGTTAAGTAACAAAAATTCCTATCTGAGTAAAATGGCGAAGCACAGAGAAACCAGACTACCGCATATCCTGTGGGTGCTTTCACATTCCTCATCCCCCCTTAAGACCACGCTCAGAGGCATAGTTTTCTATTTATTTACATTATTGGCTTTCTTTTATGGATGGAGCTTTTGTAGCCTCATCAGGAACTTGGAAAGCCATGAAAGTGGACTGAAGGCTGCTGAGCCAAAGAGCACTTTCAATCATTCACCTAATGCTTATTGCTGCTTCTCTCTGCCAACTCGAAGGCAGGGACGGGCTGCCTCTGCCAGCTGCCAGCCACACACGCCCTATTTGGTATAAGCATCAATGAGTGTACACTGGGCAAGTTGTGGGCTGGACTAGATGGGGTCCTCCAGGAAGTGCCATTTCTGGGGCCGTGGAGGGCAAGGGGGATCCAAGGTACGCCCTCAGGCCTCCTAACCTTCTCCTGGCTCACGATGGAAACGGTCACCTGCACCATCATCTTTGGAAATGAGCATGTCAATGCACGTGGGCAGAGGCAGGTAATCAACGTTTTGGTTTCACAAGAACTAGACACTCGGAGCTGGAAGGACCCTATTCAGCAGCTTGCCAAGCCCCCCACCCCACCCCGGACAAGCTGGCCATCTGGCCCATGCTGGAACAGTCCACGTCCCTCTGGCTTTTCTTACATTTGGTTCAAACATGCCACCACCCAGTTCTCTGCAAATAGCTTAAAACAAACAGAACAAAAACGAACAAAAACCAAACCAGCCCTCCCCCCCGCCCAAATCTAAGTTGGCTTGGTCTACTGACCTGGTTCTGACACCAGTTCTGAAGGCGGCTTCGAAGATGTATTCTATTTTCAATGATTCATTCAATCCATAATACCTCCTACAGTTTCCAGGACAAATGGCTACCTGGTCATTATGCTTTCATGCTGAAAAACTCACTACCATACAATTTCAATAGTGTTGCTGAACCTTCAACTCCATTTGCTGAGATATCTTCTGGAACTACCCAGAACAAGGTCTATAACCTTTGCAAGCAGGTGACAGCCCTGGGGATCAATCTGACTTTGGAACAAGGCCATACAAAGTGTAGATTTTCTGTCTAGAAGCTGAAGATGCTCATGCTGACACCAAGAAGTGAGGAGCTCCTGGTGGACTAACAGGCCCAGATGGGCAAAGTATGTCCGCACTGCAGCCAACACGACACCGACCTGTGCTGGGTAGATGTGTCTGGTTTCCAGACTTAGATCCGCTAAGGTATGTATGACTCAGCACTGTCCAAGTTCCACGTGTTCTGTGACCTCAGGGTCACAGGAATGTGCCTGAGCACAGCTGCTAGAGGCCCACCCCTGGAACTTCAGGGACCCTCCAAAGTGCAAGTCCCACTCACACAACTCATAGGGTGGGCTGCTTATTCCTGAGCAGGTGTAATCAACCAACTTCTTCCCGAGTCCATTTTCACCACTGAATGGAGTCAGGCATGACGCAGGTGGTGGGGACCCAAAGGAGGATGGAGGGTATGAAGATCCAGCCCTCAAGCATCCCTCAGAACATTTAAAGATGGCTCCCAGTTTGGCCACTTCGGCCTTCTCTGGTTCCTGCAACCATTCCTTGCACGCAGAGGACAATGAAGTCCCATCACTCCTCAGCGTCCCTCAGTGGGCGAGGCTGAGCACTGGCCTCATCCTCCAGATGTCCTCTGATGGGTGGACAGGCACGTGTCGCCTTTGCTTTTCATTTCTACAATAATATCAAAGAGGCTGGGGTTGCCCTGACAAGATCTTCAGTCTTATCTCCTTGGTCTTTTTTGTTCCCCCAGATATTAACTATCAAGGTGGTCCTCTCTAAGCAGCCTGATTATATCAAGATATTTTAAGTCTATTAACTACATGAAAAGCGGGAAGCCTGAACTTGTACTCCAAACCTGGTAGCTGGGATGGTGAGCAAACAGTGACCAAGTGGAAAGCTGGACTCACGCCGGCCCCTTCAACCCCTCCCCCTGCTCCACCCCAAGACAGTGCCCCTCCTCCTCCCAAGCAGAGAACAGGAACATTTGAGAGAGGAGGATGAAGAAGAATGGGATTCTTTACATCTAAATAGGAAGTCTTGAACAGATGCCCTAGCTACCTAGATGTAAAAGTGACTAAAATTAATAGCAAAAGGTCTGAGAACTGAACTACGGTGTAGAGTACTGCCCAGATTTCCAGCTTGGCCTCTGGGCAATACACGAGCAAAGCAGTCTAGAACAGCTTCACAGTACCTCTGCAATCTGGCTGTCCTTAGAACCACAGCCCACAACGGTCAGCGGGGGCCTGCACACCAAACTCAAACCTTAGCTACAGAAACTGACATTGAGCCCTGATGAATAGTCTGTTGTTTCTGGCTTTTTATTCCAACCAGGAAAAACCTGGGCTACCCTGGGGGTCTTGTGGCCACTGAAGGTTTAAAGAAGCTGCCCACGTGTGCATCTTCCCACTGAAAAGGCAGTGGACTGGGGGCAGATCCAGTGGGCGCCATGAGATAACCTCTTGCTCTTATTTACAAGCACCATCACCTCCTCATGGGACATCCCGTGTCTTAATGGAATCCCATGTCCTATCTGGGGTCCTCTTTTCATCCCTGTTGAAGTCAGGATGCCCCACCAATTGCTGCAGTTCACGGAATTCCACAATAAAGTAACATTATTCATTCTCTGGGTATACCTTAATTTATGCAATGGAAATCCAGGTATTTTAAGGGTGCCTTGCACTGAGTTTCTTTGTAAGATAGAAAATCTTTTGGTAAAGTAAATTAAAGACTTGAAAGTTCTCACGGTAAGCTACACATGTATATGAGGACAATGCTACTATGCTGATCCCTTTTCCTTGATGAGATGGAGACCTTTTATTTCACTCTGGTCAGCACACAGAAGGTAGCCATCTAAAGCTGGGCTTTTGTGGGCCAGCTGGAGCAGGGCCAACCAACTCACCCCAACGGATTCCTTGGGGCAAGAGGGTGCTGGAGGCCTGGAGGTGAACAGAGAGAGGGTCAGGGTCATTGGGCTGCCAGCAAAATGCAAATGGCAGGGAAAACTATGCATGGCAGTTCCTAACATTTTAGAAGGGGTATAGGTGATGTCATCTTTGGAGAGCCAGGTAAACATCTGGAAAACTCCCTGATGATGGGAAGAAAAATTGGTGAGCCTCTCTCAAAATGGTTGTCACATTTCACAGAACTTTTCTTAGCTCAAAGAGGGAAGCTATCAAATAGATAACATAAGGGAAACCGAGACAGTATGCCTGATAATAAGCTGACGTAGTATGTATTATGGACGAGGTCTGAAGAACTCTTTCAGGTCCAGGAAGGCTGCTGGGATGTGACCAGGCCTTGACTGCTGAGGCAAGACCTAGCCACAACACATCACATCCTATGGGACAACCATGCTTAAAAGGGGCCAAACACAGACCACGAGAAGATCCACACAGTGATCTGGACATGCGTGGCCTCATAAAAGGGACACAGAACAAGACGACTGTGCAAACAGTCAAGCGGTGACAAAAGGTTCTGCATTTCCAACAGATCATCCATTCAATGATTTGACGATACTAGTTTGGCCAACATGCTCAGAGAGAACAGACTATCCACAATTGAGTCTCATTCTCCTGCAGACCAATCCATGCGCTGGAAACTATTTTCTGCATAAGCAAAATCAAGTAAGAGAAAAAAATGGGTCCCAAACTAAAGTAAGCAAGCCAGGCTGGAAAATCTTGTCCCAAAATGATCTGTGATGCTTGAAGGAAGTTTTGTTTGTTTTTCATTATGATGGGTGCTTTTAGTGAAATGGTGCCTTCTTTCCTGTGACATCTGATAATCTTAACAAGTCTGAACAGCAGGGTCGAGGAGAGAGTCCTGAGTGCTGCTTCTGCCGGCCCAAGTCCTGGTGGGGCTCATCAGTGGCATCTGCTGAGGGTGGAAATGGGGCTAAAGGAGCTACCCCATCAGAGGGGATCTCCTCCACAGCCTGCTGTTAGCCTCCAGGCCTCTGCTGCAGGATGGCCGAGTGGGAGGCAGTGCCCGGGGGGCAAGCTGCCTCCAGCCTGGGGGGGGCGCATGTGACAGTCTCTGCCGCCTCAAGAGGCAGGGAGGGGAGCTGGTGGTCTACACGGAAAAGGGGCTGGCCATGCCAGTTTCAGCTGGGACAGGAACAAACCCGGGAGCCCAGGAAGGAGGCAGCCACTCTGGCCAGCTGCCTGTGTGCAGAGAGAATGGCACGCTAGCTCCCCGAAGGCCACAGACAGGAAATTGGGGCCAGTGTCCGGAGAGGCCGTGGAGCAGTGTTTGCCGGGCTTGCACTCTTCCTGCCTCCACTTCACTTTTGGCTGATGACCCAACAGCTCATTGCACTGGTTCCCACGGCCAGGCCCGTGGTGCCACGTCCTGCTGCGCTGTGAGGTCATCAGAGGGAAGGGAGTCTGGGTTCAGAGTCCGTTGGTGTCGATGGCTGTCACAGAGGCGGGCGTCGAGGAGCGTGAGGTGGTGGCCGAGGTCTTGTCCAGAGCTGGACTGGGCACGCTGCAGTCGGCGGCCCTGGCTGAGGAGCCCCTCCCTGCCGGGAGCAGCGGCCGGCCCTGGCTGTGGGGGCTCTGGCCGTGCAGGCTCTGGCCACAGAGGCGGTGGTGGCGCTCCCAGTCCTTGTGCTGGCAGAAGGAGCCGCAGTAGCGCGCAATATTGCAGCCGCTGCACGTCTCACTGGCTTTGCGGCCACAGTTCCAGCAGTTCTGCAAGACACAGGCAAGGGTTAGTTGCTTGGATCCTGTGTGGGGAGAGCGTGGCATTCGGAGCTACATACACCTGGGCTTGTCCTGCTTCAACTGCTCTGTGCTGATGTGTGGCAGATACACACGCCTCTCTGAATCTCCTTCATCGGTAAGAAGAGGCAAACTGCCCGCCATGGGTTGGCAGGACAGCAGGACGTACGGTGCCAGGGAAGGGCGGTGGTAGCTCTCACCTCCTGCCGAAGGCACCTACTCATGGTTCTGACTCACATTTAATCCTCAGTGACCAAACCACTGTCCCAGGGTCCCTGACACGACACATGCACACGTGTGTTCTTGCTGCTCTCAACAGAGGAATGATCTTGATCACTTTTACCGACAACACCTGATCCTTTAAAAAAGCCCCCTGCCAGGGGACCAGGAGTGTGGGCAGTTGTGCAACTTCTGTGCCCGTTCTCCTTTCGGTGATGTGTCTCGTCACAGGTGGGCTGGCAATCAGAGGACTACTTCGGGCTTGTTTCAGGGAGCCCCCCAGCACCTCCAAACTCAGTGCCCCAGGACGTTTTCCTGCTACTCTTTGCACCTGCCACATAAGGGGCAAGCGTTGCTGGGCTTCAGCAGAAATGCATGGGGGGGGCGGAGGTGAGGAAGGGAGAGCACTAATTCTGACAGAAGTGAGGAGCCAGTGAGACTCGGGCAGAGCTCCGAGCGGCAGGCCCGCGAGCGCAGCAGCAGGATGCCCGGGGAACACACAGCACTGCACTTCCGTCCGACAGCTAAGGAGGGGAGCAGCAGCATGAAGGCTGCCACGAGGCTCAGCTCCCAGCGCCCGCGCCCTCCTTCCGGAGGCTCCCCTGAGGACTCCACGAGTGAGCCTGCACCCAAGGCCCCCAGGACCCCCTCAGAGGAGAAAAAGCCTCCGGCACTGGCCAGGTGAAATTAGCAGGAAGAGGCAAGGCTCTCTTGGGTGTCAGGAAGGACCCGAGCACCAGCGGCCTGATCACTACATAATCCCCTCAGGGAAGACAGACACTGTCCCCAATGAAATCTGGACACCCGCTCAAGTATAAAACAACAGACAAGTGCCTGCAGCCATCCAGCCCACCTTTTACAGATGGGACACTGAGCCAGGAGGCAGGGATGTGGCCTAAAGCTGTAAAATGATTACATGGCTATGCAAAGCCTAGAAGCGGAACCCCCTGACTCTACTATACTCAAGGTTACAAAGGATTGCAGACTCCCTTCTAACACAACAGGCTTCTCAGGAAATACACTTAGGGACTGCCCAAACTTGCCCAGCACCAACACCCAGAGGACCAGAATAGGAAGAGACAACTTTCCCAGGATGCATTTACGGATCCTAAAGCAAACTACACTCCAGAGAATGTCCTATTTTTGAGTCCGATAGGCTGACTCCAAATGATGCTTTGGCAGGACATTACCACTTGTCGGGAAGAAATCGGTTGATTACTGCCCACATGGGGCCGCCCTGGAAACACAGGCCAATGTGTCAGCCCCATGGTCAGCCCCATGGTCAGCCCCAGCCGAATGGGAGAGCCTCTACTCCCTCTCTGTCCCAGGCTGAAAGGGCATCTGAAACCAGGACAGAGTATTGCACCACTAGTACTTTCACCTTGGCTGCCATATATGTTTATAATAGATTATTTCATCATTTATGGGACAAAATAAAACAAGATAAACAGGCCCCCCCAGAGGCAGGATCATAAAATACAACAACAGCATGGCTGGTATCAGAGCAGCCAGGGTGAAAAGGACACTTGTAGGTTTTCTTTTCCTGTGTCTTCTTCCCCCTGACGACCATGAGGCTTTTTGCCAAGATATAAGGCAAAAGGTGTATTATTGCTGTGATCACCCTTCAGATCAGCATTCCTCAAGGCTGGAGCAACACATACGGCCAAACAGTCCTTTGTAGCTAGTGGGAGAAGGTTATAAACCTCCTGAGTCACTGCTTATGGATTCTAGACCTTCCTCTTAAGCACAGATCATCAGTCTCTGCCACTATTAACAGGTTCCTCTGCTATCCGGAGGTGGAGCCTTCCTATGAAACCTTTCATAAGCTGAAATGGTCTAAAGTGGAGAAACAATTACCATTCATTTATATGGGAAAATTTTGAGTGTTCCCAGACCTAAAAAATAACTTTTCTTAGGCTTTTCCATAGGACACATTTTGCTAATGGATGCATAAAATAAATTTAGATAAAGCACAGACCCAGTTCAAAGCTCTCACAGCCAGCTGCTGAGTGGAATTCTTGGGGAAGGAGCTTGGTGGGGCCAGTCTTGCTGCTCAGGCTGTGTGCTGGGCTTGCTACATAACAAATGCTGAATGCTATTTTTGGGTTTTCCCGTTTCTCATTAAAGTGAAAATCCTCTTCAGGTTTCTTTCAGCAAGTGAGAACAGGTACCAACAGGCATTTTCTAAAACCAAAGGCCTAATGTGAACTTTCAAAAAGTGAGAGATACCTGTAGTACATACAGAGTCTAAGTGTGGCTTGGGGATCACATTCTGAGAATGACCTGGGATTGTTCAAATCCCTGGGACCTTTGCCAGGCCTCCTTGACCTTACTGCAAAAACCTAACCCAAAGGAGAAATGACTCCCCATCTGAAAATCAACTGCTAGCCCATGAGACTGGTAAGGAAATCCAGGCTGAGACAGAAGGTGCCCTGTGGCAGAGATGAGGGGACCTCTCACTCCACCCCTCTGCCCGAGGCATTACAGGGCAGACTTGGACTTGGAGACTCTTGGGGTCTGGCCTCAGAGGCGGCAGCTGTTCTGCAAGGGCAGGCACTACCACAGCTGACACACGTACGTTTTTACACTGTCACAGAACCCTTTGTCTACAGTGCACTGCCGTTTACCACCACACCCACAACGATGATCTTGACCTCACTGTATTCTGTAAAAACTGTAAGACCAGCAGGACAGGGGCTGCTACACACTCACTACACAGAGAAGGAAACGGAGACCTTAAGGGTACGCTGCCACTGTGAAGGGGAACTGGGACTAGAACTCAGGGTCCCTAACCTCCCGTTCTGGGCTCCCTTCATTATTCCCCACCACTTCTCTGAATAAGAAACCCCAGAGATGCCTGCTGGACTTCAGAATTTTCTGGATGAAATAAAGGGAATTCATCCCTTCTGGTCCAATGCAAACTAACCCAGAGCTTCGGTCCTCCCATCACTCCCGTTTTGGAAAGAAAGTTTGCTGGTTTGGGTGCCCGTGTGTACCTCCTATTCTATAGGTCACTTTGCACTGATTAAAATGACAGGTCCTCGGGCGCCTGGGTGGCTGAGTCGTTAAGCCTCTGCCTTCAGCTCAGGTCATGATCCCAGGGTCCCGGGATCGAGCCCCGCATCGGGCTCCCTCCTCTGCGGGAAGCCTGCTTCTCCCTCCCCCACTCCCCCTGGCTACGTCTCTCTTTTAAAATGACAGGTCCTTCACAGCACAATTCTATAAATGGGATTAAACCACGCAGTCTAGATCCAGAACTGATGCTCTTAGCCAAAATGTTCCGCTCCCTTTTTGGAGGCAGACGCAGTAAAAGATAAACACAGATATAAAAACAGGTAAATATGACCGGATACTGATATAGCTGTGGATGGCTACAGATAGAGAATTAAATACATACAACAGAGATGTCGCTGCTCAAAAACAATTCTAAAGAAAAAGTAGGAGGGAAGAAGGACAAGAGGGTTAATGGAACTATTTTCTCACAGTTCAGTGTCCTTGTTGGGGTGCTATGACAAGGAACCTTCCCACATCCTCTGTGAGGGCCCCGTGATATGCGGGCACATTCCTCTTCACCTGCCATGCTTGGAACTGCTATCCTGCAGGGCACCCTTTACATGGAGTGGAACTGTAACACTGCTGCTGTTTCAACAAAACCAACCAACAAAACCTCCCAGTTCTTTACGTCTCAACTGGTAGATGGATCTGCCTACTTAGAGAAATAGGCTTGCTTCAAGACTTAAAAGTTTATCTCAAAACTGAAAAATGACTGAAATGAAAATTACAGAAGAACTTTATTATATTCCAAAGGACTGTTACGATGTTTTTGTCATATGCTTTTTTCTTTTCAGTTTTACTTTTGTCCTCACTGTGGTACAAGTGTCCTGGATAGAAACATCACCATGTGCTGGACCTTGGGTCTTGGGAGAGGTGGGCAGGTCTGCCCGATATGTCACTTCAATCCATGCAAGAACTATCTATCCTCTTTATAAACAGACCAAATGCTATAGGGCCCTGCGTCTCCTTACCCCTACCCTAGCTTCAGCACCGAGGGATCACATCAGTGAAAATTCCTTAAGCCCCAGCTTCCTCTGTGTAAAACCAGAACCCAGCAATACCTACCTCATAGGGTCACTGTGGGGATCAAAAAGGCAACACATACACTTAACTCTGTGTCTCTGGCACCTGGTGAGCCCACTAGTCAAAGGTGGCCTTCATAATCATGTAATTCCACCCTGTCTTCAAGGTGAGTTTTCAAAATTGAAAACTGATAAAATCAGCTGATTTATCTAAGAATATAATAATTAAGAAACAAAATTCTTCTGGTACTAGATAAAAATTATAATCATCTAGTACAAGAGCTGACCATTTTATCTTACTGCCCAGCACTTAAGAAGAAAACAGTGGGCTCGGGGACTGCAGCTACCCCAGACCCGAACCCCCCAGCCCCCAGGGCTAACAGAACTCTGACCTCTGTTGACTCTTCTTGTTCATTTATGACGAGGAAGGCATCCTCTGCAGCCTGCCGTTTGACGTCCGCTATCGTTTGCTCCATCCGAGCTCTCTCTGTTGCAATCACTTCAAAGGCTTTTTGTTCTGCCTCAGCAACAGCTTTCTGTACTTCTGACATGGCCTGAATTTTCACCTTATTCACAGCTTCTTCTAGAAGAAAGTGACAGTAAAATCAACTGGCCGAGAAATCTTTTCCCTCCCACTCCCTATCAATTGCGTGAAGGGATGGAGCTGAAACAAGAGGACTTTTCCAAAAATATACAGGGTTCAACATATGACATACACATTCACTTTTATTCTTATACTATTTGTCTGTTCATGTACTCCTTTGTTGGGTGTGTAGATAGGCAGCACTGTGCTAACGGCTGGGGATACCTAGAGGACTAGGACATAGTACTTTTCCCCTACATGTTTGTCGTCACATACAAAGGTGGCTTGGGGGGTCCGTGACATATATCAGTACAAGAGGCAAGAGTTCCAAGGAGACAAGTGGTCAGCTCTACAAGTGGTGTGGAAGATCAAGAAAATGTGTCTTGGTCGAAATGGTAGGTGGAAATGAGTATTTGTGAAGTCTGACATCCCATGCTAAGGGCTTTGGCTCTTTTTCTAAAGGAAACATTAACTCCTGAAGGGTTCTATGCAGGAGAAAAGACTGAAGGCAGAGATAGGCTGTGAGAGGCTGGGGCAGTAGAAATCCAGCTGACAGAAGAAACTCTAAATTTAGGCAGGAGCAAGGGCATAGAGGAAGGGATGAGACAGAATGAGGCTGGTAGCATCTAAGAGTCTGGAGGTGAAGGTGAGGAATGAATGGTAGTGATATGAAATGAAACAGATAATAAGCAAAGTGCCATGTGGAGGCAAGTGGGAAGACTGAAGTGCCTCTGGGGCATCCAGGTACAAATGGCCAGGAGGCAGTTAGGTATAGAAGACTGAACTCAGGGGGCACCTGGGTGGCTCAGTTAATAAGCGTCTGCCTTCGGCTCAGGTCAAGATCCCAGGGTCCTGGGATGGAGCCCCACATCAGGCTGCCTGCTCAGCAGGAAGCCTGCTTCTCCCTCTCCCACTCCCCCTGCTTGTCTTCCTGCTCTCTGCTATCTCTCTCTGTAAAATAAATAAAACCTTTAAAAAAAAAAAGAAGAAGACGACGACGACGACCGAACTCAGCAGAGCAACGTGGGCTAAAGATATGGATTTGGGCATGCCAAGAGCCTGGGCTTCCAAAGCCTGTACACGATCAGTATCACCCCACTTGGTTCCTGATCACTTCCTCCCATCACCACCATCCTGCTTGGTTTCCACAGAATGGATACTCCAAATGGCATACACTATGCATTGAGCCTCATCTCCAAGATCCAATGTGAGTGACCGCCTTCTTGGGTCCACAAGACTGGAAAACCCAAAAGCCTAAGGAAACTCCTTTATAGCCTGGTTCTTTCACATGGCCTAGGCTCAAAGAAGATCTAAATAAAGTGTTCTAGGCTGCCATCCTAAAACTTTTCATCTTACCACTCCAGCTTTAAGAAAAGACCTTTTCACTCCAAAAGACAAGTATGATGCTGAGTTGACTTGACAGTGAACTCCATGCTTCCTTTACTCTTGGTATCTACACAGGTCCACTGTGGCCCACCATCACTGCCCTTCATAACCCTCTTATTAGTTTCCAGATAGGGTTCTTAAGTCAACATAATAATGCCCTAACATGTATTTTATCCTCTCAGGTTAAGGGTCAATCAGTCAAAGTCACAGTTTGAATAAGTACCTTGCAGTCACCTAAGTCACAGATGACACCATAGCAGAGGAAGGACTCAAGTCCAGCCACTTCAAAACCAAAGTTTGGCTCTTAATCAGAGTTAACCAAAGGTACCTCCCAAGCGGGAAATCACTAGTTATCAAGGAGATCTTGTGCATGGTAATCCTTCTCTTTACCTTAACAACTGCTATCTTCATTTCAAATAATTCTATTCCACTTCTTGGTAATACGTATTTCCCCATTTCCAACTGCAAAAAGGTTTTTCCAAGTTGCTATGTGGTTTTCCAAATTTTTTTTTTTTTTTTTAAGATTTATTTATTTGAGAGAGAGACAGTGTGAGCAGGGGGAGGAGCAGAGGGAGAGAATCTTCAAGCAGGCTCAAGGGAGCCTGTCGTGGGGCTTGATCTCACATCCCATGAGATCATGACCTGAGCTGAAACCAAGAGTCAGACACTCAACCAACTGAGCCACCCAGGAGGTCCCAAATTATTTTTAATGACAAAATAATATTTTGTGTGGCTAAGTCTGAGAAACAGCAATGATTTTAAGAATTTGCACGTACTGCGGTGCCTAGCTCGGTCATAAAAGTGTCAATTCTTGACCTCCCAAGGCTGTAAATTCAAGCCCCATGCTAAAAAATAAAATCTTTGGGCGCCTGGCTGGCTCAGTCACTAAAAGCCCATCTGCCTGCGGCTCAGGTCATCGTCCCAGGGTCCTGGGACCGAGCCCCACATCAGGCTCCTAGCTCTTTAATAAAGTAAAAGAAAATCTTAAAAAAATTTGTACACATTCAAGGTTGGTCTACTTAATAATTTCATAAATAAACCTCTAATGAATTATTTAGTGTCATTAACAAAGTCATCTAAAAATATGTCAACAAATGTATGTCAATAAAGACTCTGGGGGCTAACCGATCAGGGTTGCTTTATCTTATAATCTCCTAAACTGCCAGTCAGAACAAACACTCTGCAGTATGTTTATTTGTATTTCTCACAATTTGTTATCTTTTGTCCATTTGTTTATGATGATCTTGATGCTCCTGAGTCTTTATGAGACAAGTATTAACTTTTGCAGAAGTAAATTTTATCTCCGGAAAAAAAACAAAACAAAACAAAACAAAACACGCACCAAGAACTGTCCCGGACTACAAAAAAATGGTCCTGGCAAAGGGAGTCTAGAAGGAAAAGAAGGCTCATGTCTGGACAAGGGCAGGTTTAGGAACATGAGGTTAGTTTTATCCACTATCTTAACGCAATAGGCAGAGCCACCGTCCTTTTAGGCTTCTAGAAAATGAGGCCCACCAAAAAACAGTGTTGACAAAGCCGGGGACAAGGGAGGTGAAAGGAGGGTTGTTCCGAGGACAGAACGAGCCAAACGTGGTGGTGTGTAAACAGAGTGCGTGAAGATTCAAGTGAAGACAACAGGCAGAAATGAACTGAGCTATATGCTCAGAAATAAGGAATATAAATAGGGAAGGAAAAGTCGGTTACTTAATGCCTCAGGAAGACCCAGCAGAAGGGTATGCAAGGAACTCAGATGGACTGTAAGAAGTCATTCGAAATTCTTGGCCTGCAAAAAATCCTGTGCAGTGCAGTCCAGGTGTATGTGAAAGCTGCAGGGGGAAAGGAAGGAGCCTAGAGTTCTGAGGATAAAGTTAGGAGCCAAAGACCTTTCCCCCAAACATGTGCTCCAGGCTCACACAAATTAAGTTGAGTATGTGACAGAAGCACACAGATACATACCAGTTTTTTTCCAAAACTCCACAGGTACATATCCTGTTCCTGGCCTACTGTTGAATTCTCGCTGCGAATCTACAAAAGGGATAAATAGCACAGGGTTAGAAGTGGTCTATAACCAACATCTTTTATTTTTATGGAAAAAACAATTTTTTTTAAAGATTTTATTTATTTATTTCACAAAGAGCGAGAGAGGGAACACAAGCAGGGGGAGTGGGAGAGGGAGAAGGAGGATTCTGCTGAGCAGGGAGCCCGACTTGGGCTTTGATCCCAGGACCCTGAGATCATAACCTGAGCCGGAGGCAGCTGCCTAACTGAGCCACCCAGGAGCCCCTCCTTCTGTTCTTAAGATGGGTCCTGTTTAATCAATTCCATGTCTTCCACTCTGGTTTACTTCCCTCTTTTAGGGTATATCCTACTCAACTGTGGTAGGTACCACAATAAGGTAGACAGGAGACACATTTTTTAAAAAAAGATTTATTTTTGAGAGAGAGAGAGAGAGAGCGAGAGCGCGCGCATAAGCGTGGGAGCAAGTACACACCAGTAAGTAGGGGGCACAGGGAGAGAACCATCAAGGAGACTCCCTGCTGAGCAGAGCCCAACATGGGGCTCAATCCAACGATCCATGGTATCATGACCTGAGATGAAACAAATAGCCTGACACCCAACCAAATGAGCCAGCCAGGCACCCCAAGAGGTACATTTTTTGAAAAACTGTGGATTGTTAAACATTTAATGGTTTTGGTCTAGTACAGAATTTTTAAAAAGATTTATTCATTTATTTAAGAGAGAAAAAGAGAGCACATGCTCGAAACTAGGAAGGAGGGGCACCTGGGTGGCTCAGTCGGTTAAGCGCCTGCCTTTGGCTCAGGTCATGATACCAGGGTCCTGAGATTGAGTCCTGTATCGTACTCTCTGCTCAGCAGGGAGTCTGAGTCTCCCTCTCCTGCTCCTCCTGCTTGTGCTCTCTCTCTGTCAAATAAATAAAATCTTAAAAAAAAAGAAAAGAAATCAAACTGGGAAGGAGGGGCAGAGGGAGAAGGAAAGAGAATCCCAAGATTCCACGCCCAGTGTAAAGCCCCACTTGGGGCTTGATCCCACGACTGTGACACCATGAGCCCAGCTAAAACTGAGAGTTGGATGTTCAACCACCTAGGCGACCCAGCTCTAGCACAGAATTCTAAGTTAAAATGACTTTCCTTCAGAGTTGTATTCTAACTTTCAATGATGCTAACTGATATTTGTTTCTTCCACAGTGTTGTTTGATTGGTAGACTGGTTCAATTTGGAATATTTGCCTTTCAGTTCTGGGTAATTTTCTTTTTCCAGTAATTACACTATCTTCGCTGTCTATTCACTGTTTCTGAAACTCATTTGATTTGGATTGGATGACTGACTAGTTCATAAAAATATTAACTCGTCGGGGGCGCCTGGGTGGCTCAGTCGTTAAGCATCTGCCTTCGGCTCGGGTCGTGATCCCAGAGTCCTGGGATCAAGGCCCGCGTCGGGCTCCCTGCTCGGCGGGAAGCCTGCTTCTCCCTCTCCCACTCCCCCTGCTTGTGTTCCCTCTCTCACTGTGTCTCTCTGTCAAGTAAATAAATAAAATCCTTTTTAAAAAATTAAAAAAAAATCAATTCGTGGTTTGGTGAAAAAATTATAAAGTGAACATCCGTAAAACTTCAGGTCAAGAAAGACACTTCTAGCAACCCCAAATCCCCAAGAGATGAGTACTAGTAAGCCACAGTGTTTGAAGTGTTTAAAGCCACAGTGTTTAAACAGCCACCCTGTTTAAAGGATGCTAGTCAGACCTGCAATCCTGTCCTCAGAAGAGCTGGTGAAGATGATGAGTGCTCACTCTGTAGTCTCCATCACCCACAGCCTCTACACCACACCCCAGAGAAAACCATGATCATTTTCTTCTTTTTCATTATGCGTTTCCTACCTATTTATGCATCCTTAAGTAAAATACCAAAATACATCCATTGTCGTCTGAGCCAAATTTATCCCTGAAATATTGTGAATCACCAAAGTTCAGATAGAGGGAACCTTTATTTCATTATTTTAAATGGGAAAAGTAATAATGCTATCCAGACTCTAGTCTAATTTCTCTCCAAATCACCAAAATTCTTAAATACTAAATACTTAAATAATCCACGAGCAGTTTCTGCATACACCGAAGATTTAAAACACGAATTATCAAAAAACAAAAAAACCCCAAAAAACAAAAACACCCACAAATCACAAATTATCTGATTATTTTGAAGTCATTGGTATGTTTGTGTGCTATGCCCAAGAACACTGCCGAGTGTAGCACAGTGCTACTCCAAATGCTAGTCTACAAACTGCTATGGTCCATAAAGAGATAGGGGACATAGGCCAGAATACAGAACCACCGTGTCTCTAGGCACACTGCTTAATGGAGAGGACTCTTGTCAAAGTAAGCAAACAGCACCCAGTACATGCTGTGGCAGGCCCCTCAACTAATCATGGTCCAGTAACAAATTCTTTTGGAATGGTTTTCGTCCACATTTTGAATAACATGATTACTTAGGATATGAATGATGCTTTCTTTCTACACTACAACAAACATGATATAAGAGAAATAAACAGTAAAATAAAAATATGAAATATATATACTATGTATAAATAAAGATACTGAAAAAGATGAGCTAATGCAGAGCCATGTTTAAATGCCCCGAAGAAGGGGCACCTGGGTGGCTCAGTCGTTAAGCGTCTGCCTTCAGCTCAGGTCATGATCCCAGGGTCCTAGTATGGAGCCCTACATTGGGCTCCCTGCTCCGCGGGAAGCCTACTTCTCCCTCTCCCACTCTCCTGCTTGTGTTCCCTCTCTCGCTGTCTCTCTCTCTCTAAAATAAATAAATAAAACTTTTTTAAAAAAATAAATAAAATAAATGCCCCCTAGGACGACCTGCCACTGGGGCTAAAGAGCTGCCTCAGGACCACACTCACTCTCACCTAAACACGTGCAGACTGACTGGGGGAAGGTTTGTGATTTGGAAGGTGAATTCTGGATATTTCTGCAAGTTGTTATGGGGACTATTTGTGAAAGTTCAGACAGCGCGGAATACCTGAGGATGAGCTCTGAAGTTGTTCGTACATTGGTATGTATGTGTCATTTAGTGGATGGATTGATTGTAATCTCTATACCAATGTGGGGCTTGAACACATGACCATGAGGTTAAGAATCATGTGCTCTTCTGACTGAGCTAGCTAGGTGCCCCAAGCTCTTAAGTTTTTATGAAAGTGCAGCTCCATTGCAGCTACAATTATCCTGATGTCTTGATATGATATCCCACACAATGTTGCTAATCTACAATGGCCTGAAGAATCAGCTCTGTGGGAGAGGTGGGGAGTGGGATCCTTTGGTTACCAATGACTTCGCCTCATTTTTTTTGAAGTGTTTTTTATACTAACAGCTGTCATCTGTGGAACATGCTAGGTTGTCATAATGAGAGATTCATTCTCCCTGGTAAAAAGAGGGAGCTTGAAGTGGGTGTGTGGGGAAAACGTCTGATCACAGATGGCCCCTCATTTAGCTGTGTCTTTGGATAGGGCAATCTTTTTAGTTACTAGATGAATGTGATGCGATACTTTCAAAGAAAAAGCTGTGGCATCCTGCATGTACCCTGGATTGAGAATAATTGTTCATATCTTTGCTGCTTCAGGCTGAGAAAAGGCAAGATGGGACAACCCAGTTTGGTATAGTAAAACGTTTTATACAGGCCTCCCAGGGCGCCTGGGTGGTTCAGATAGTTAAGCGTTTGCCTTTGGCTCACAAAGGTCGTGATCCCAGGGTCCTGGGATTGAGGCCCAAGTGGGGTTCCCTGGTCAATGGGGAGCCTGCTTTCCCTCTCCCTCTGCCCTTTCCCCCACCCTGCTTGTGCTCCCTCTCATTCACTCTTGCTCTATCTCAAATAAATAAAATCTTAAAAACAAAAGAAACTAAAGGCCTCCAGACAGAGGTCGATAAATGGTATTTTCCTGGATGGGGATTGAGAGGGAAAGGAGGGAAGGTGAGGGGAACATTTTTAGATTTTCAGGGCTACTGATGAGGAATAATTGTGATGTACATGAGAGTACCTAGGACATTCAGCCAGGGTAATTTTAACAACTATTCCTTAATCATCACCTAGCACATAGAGAGTTAAAAACAACAAAATCACAAATATTCTCATTATCCACGAGTTAGACAATATTTCTTCAACATGCCAGGTATTGAATCCTTGACACATTTTATCATTTACTCTTCATAATCACCTGGGTCTTTCTAATTCCACAATCTAGCACCATCTTCCTTTAAAGTAAAATACAAAAAGCCTTCCGTGTCATCTTAGGTGAGACTCTTCCCCCTTACCATTGCTGAGAGAATCGGCACTCCCAGGACTGTGCTGCCTGGAGACCAACTCGCTCCCTGGCTTCCTCATCTCTGTGTTTTCATTACATCGTCTTTTCCAGTAGTTCAGTTCTTCACGATCAGATTCCTGACAGCGCCGCAGAACTGCCATGGAGCGCCTTGTCTTCTCTACCATTTCCATAATGCAATTCAGAGCCTAAGCCAGAGAGGAAATCAGGCAGGCGTAAGAATAGAACTTTCAAATAACCAATACTGAAAATCAAGGATGGGTAAGCTATAAAGAATGAAGGCTTAAGTTATTTCAGGTTTAGCAATATCAAGCCTACATATGAAAGCCTTGCTTAACAGCTTCTTTTTACTTGTTTATTTAATTTGGCGGGGGGAATCCTAGGCAGGTCCATGCCCAGCACAGCCCCAACACGGGGCTCGATATCACAACCCAGAGATGATGAGCAGAGCCAAAATCAAAATCAAGAGTGGGATGTGTAACCGACTGAGTCACCTAGGTGCCTCTCAACAGCTTCTTTTTAAATATGTATGTGTAAAATAAATAAATAAATAAATAAATAAATAAATAAATAAATGCAAATTATTATTTTTTTAATTTCAAAATAACACTTTTTGGATTCTTCCAGACTCAAGCAGCCAAGGTCTCTCACCATAATATAGTCCTTTAAACACTATGGTGAAACCACCCTCTCATTTGTTTTTGGAGAAGCACCATTGATTATTATTATTATTATTATTATTATTATTTATTTCAAGATTTTTATTTATTTATTTAACAGAGAGATAGACACAGAGCACAGGTAGGCAGAGTGGCAGGCAGAGGGAGAGGAAGAAGTAGGCTCTCTGCTGAGCAGGGAGCCGGACGTGGGGCTCGACCCCAGGACCCCAGGATCATGACCTGAGCCGAAGGCAGCCGCTTAACAGACTGAGCCACCCAGGCGCCCCGAAGAAGCACCACTTATTTAGCATTTCCTATATACTAGATCTTGTGATAAGCACCTTACATATAACCACCCTGTTGTGAATTTAAGTAATACAGTATTGTTTTTTTTTAAGATATAAAAATTATGGCTACAAACTGTAAAAACAATTTGCCCATTGCACAAAGGTAAAAGAAGTGACAAAGCTGGGACCCGAACTGACAAACCCAATTTTAACCATTATACTTTCAGATTTCATTTTGTTATAACCTGAAGTGATTACCCCACTGCAAAGATGTGAGAGTTACTCTTAGCTCTCTAGCTAAGGGAGTAGCAGATAAATCAAGTTTATTTTATTTTATCATTTTTTTTTTAAGTAAGCTCTACACCAAATATGGGACTTGAAGGGCTTGGATTCACAACCCTGAAATCAAGAGTCACATGCTCTACTGATTGAGCAAGCCAGGCGCACTGATAAATTAAGTTTTTATTGCAAAGAAACTGTGGCTCTGGTGAAGTTCACTTCAGGCATATATACTCCATTATTATTGGTAATATTAAGAATTAAATGTAATAGGAAAATTATACACCATTAAGATTCTTACATGATCAAGATGTTTCCATTCATCAGCCCATTCCCTTTCTGTCAAACGGTGGTCTACCAACTCATCTTGATAGCCTCCATTTAGACCTATTAGAAATTAAGAGATTAAATTTGATGATAGAGGAAGAATACAATAAACAAAATTCTAGCAAGTCAATACACACACATCCATACCAAATATGAGCACACTACTAGGACAATGATTCACAATGGAGTGTGGAACCCACAAAATGACATAAAACAACAACAAAAAAAAATCACCATTTAGAATATATAAAAAACTCTGACAAATCACTTATGAAAGAAACAGCCCAAAAGAAAACCGGGCAAAAGAAATAAAGAGGTATGCCAGACAGAAAAGCACAGATGGCCCATAAAAACATGAAGACATTCAAACTTATAAGTAGTCACAATGCAAATAACATATTCACTAAGATAGCATTTCATATCCATACATTGGAAAAAATTAAATTGTCAGGTAATACTAAATGTTGGCAAGTATTTGGCATAATGCAAATAAATACTTAACCACCACAACTAGAATGGGTACAGTACAAACACTTGGAAACAACTCAGTATTACCAAAAAATAGTATACATGTCTTTAAGTAAGCTCTATGCTCAACCTGAGGCTTGAATTCACAACCCTGAGGATTAAGAGTTGCATGCTCTTCTCACTGAGCCAGCCAAGGGGCCTCCCCCAAAAAAAAAAAAAAAAAAAAAATTTTTTTTTTAAGATTTTATTTATTTGACAGAGAGAGTAGACAGCAAGAGCAGTAACACAAGCAGGGGGAGTGGGAGAGGGAGAAGCAGACTTCCCACGGAGCAGGGAGCCCGATGCAGGGCTCGATCCCAGGACCCTCCCAATGACTGAGCCACCCAGGCGCCCCCCACAAAATACTTTTTTGTATGGCATTAATTTATACTGAAATTTTCAAGAATGCAATGACTGTGTGAATCAAGGGTATACTGAATTAAGAGCTGTCCACTATTTTGAAAAATCCTGTCACATATGACACCACTGCTCAAAGTACTGAAATCATTAATATAACACAGCTGTTATCAGTCTAAATTTACAAGTGCTGTATTGATAGTGATCCCGTATCTGTGTAAGCATCTACTTATTTTATTGTATCTTCTTCTGAAGTCATGCCTGAGCACTAACATATTCTAATACTTTCTTATATATTATGCTTTAGAATATTGATCCTACAATTATGGGTCTAAGACAGGCTATAGTATCCCTAACTTTCATTTTAGGAGAGCAAAGGGGAGGGGCTGCAATGTATTTGTTTAAAAAGGGGAGGGAATAAGTGGTTTGGTAAGAATTGAGAACTAGGGCACATGCTCTCGAGAAGACCGGGGAAAATTAAGGAATCTATCACCAGCCCAGAAGACAAATGGTTAAACCTAAAATAAACCATGTAAGAAGAGGACTGAACATCTTTCAAATAGAATGCTTCAAGATAAAAAAAAAAAAAGTTTTTCTGGAATTGTTAGGAATGAAAGGAAAACCTGACCATAATGCAGTTACAGCTAAATTCTGGCACACTTCTCTCTCAATAAGTAATGGATCAAACAAGTTAAAAAGTATGTATGAATACAGAAGAAATCAACAGCAAGCCTTGTTTTTAACATAAAAAGAGGGACATGGGAGAAAACGGATTGGACTACACAGAACAATGGCCAAGGGAGGTGCCACAGCAAATCAGCAATGTAGGCAAACCTAGGGCATCAGATAGCTGGGGTCTGAATCTTGTCTCTGCCACTCTAGCTACATGATTTTGGCCACAGTTCCTTCACCTCTCATCTGCAAAAAGGGGGTATTAACTGCATGGGACCACCGTGAGGACTGAACGAGACAATGTACATATGATGTGCATGCAATCTAAGCAGTACCTGTAAATGCTGGTAGCTGAGACTGTTGTCATGGCCCTCACCATTCAGCTACCACCGCGTGAACCCAAGCCCTAATATGGTCCATGCCTCTGAAAACTACCAGTGAGCTGAGCCTAAGTCAGAATGGGGACAAGCAAATGTGCTGCAATTTTTTACTCCCTGGGGTAGCCCACAAATGGAAATGTAGGGAAAATTCTGGAAGTTAGCAGCCCTTTGGTTCTCTGCTCTGACACGCGATCAGCAGTTACTCCAAAGAAACCTTCTACAGGAAACTTGTATGAGGATATGACAATAAGCTTTGTTCAAAATTGATCTTGGGTAATGTTTGTTAGGGGCTTTTTTGCTTCTTCCTAAATTTATGGTTACTAAAGATGCACACGCCAGGCATTCTACATGTAACAATGACCCAGCACAAGTGGTAGTATCATCTCTGTTTTAGAAACAAATAACCTGAGGCTCAGAGAGCATAAACAACTTGCATAAGATCACACACCTAGTTAGGATGCAGAGCCAAGATTTAAATTTAGATATGCCTCACCTCACCTAAACATCCATGCGCTTTCACTTTTTTTAAAGATTTTTTTTTTTTTTTGAAAGAGAGAGATAGACAGATAGCGAGATAGGGAACACAAGCAGGGGGAGTGGGGGAGGGAGAAGCAGGCTTCCTGCTGGGCAGGGAACCCAATGCGGGGCTCGAACCCAGGACCATGGGATCATAACCCAAGCCAAAGGCAGATGCTTAACGACTGAGGCACCCAGGCACCCCAGTACTTTCACTTTTAAGACACATATTTCATATCTTAATTTTAAAAACACTTTACTCTGAAATAAATCCAGATTTACAGAAACAATGCAAGAATAGTATAAAGAATTCTCATATATCCTTCACCGAGATCTCCAAAATATTAGTATTTTAGCTCATTTGTTTTAACATTCACTAGTTTTCTGCACCATGAAAATAAATGATACCTCTTTATTCTTTTGTTTTTTTTTTACAATTTTATTCATGTATTTGACAGAGAGAGAGAGAGAGAAAACGCACACAAGAGGGGGGAGGGGCAGAGGGAGAAGCAGACTCCCCGTTGAGCAGGGAGCCAGATGTGGGGGCTCGATCCTGGGACTCTGGAATCTTGACCTGAACCAAAGGCAGCTGCTTACCCAACTGAGCCACCCAGGTGCCCGATACCTCTTTATTCTTAAATGTTTCATTATGTATTTCCTAAAAATTTATTCAAGCCCAGTTTTATCATAAGGGTATAATAGCAACAAGATCACGACAACTCTAATATCCTTGTTTATGTATAATATTGTTTTATCTTATCAGAGGAAAAAAGCAATGATTGTATCATTTTGCTTTATAACTGAGTAGGAAGGAAACCCGAAGATTTAATCTGAATTTAAAAACATTTTAAACATTTAAACATTTAAAAACAATTAGTCACTTACTAAGATTGTGGTGTCTATCACGAACTTCTCGATGTTCTAGCATCTTGTTGGGCTCACGATACAGATGTGAAGTTGCGATATCTTCTAAGGTGTAGTGTTGAAGAGGTGGAGGAGTAGGATGGAACTGGCCCCCAGGATTCAGGAGGGGCACTGTGAGGGCAGGACTGTGCCGGGGAGCAGGGCTGATGGTGCACACTCTCTTGGCTGGAGGCTCGGGAGGAATTGTATCTCTTTCAAAACTGTTCTCTTCCCTCCTGTAGAAGAACCAGAAGCACATATCTGAGCCCATCTTTCACAAACAGGAAGATGATAAAGACAGATGTGACAGGGGCGCCTGGGTGGCTCAGTCGGTTAAGTGGCTGCCTTCGGCTCAGGCCATGATCCTGGGGTCCTGGGAGCCCCACATTAGGCTCCCTGCTCAGCGAGCCTGCTTCTCCCTCTCCCTCTGCCTGATGCTCTGCCTACTTGTGCTCTATCTCTCTGTCAAATAAATAAAATCTTAAGAAAAAAAAGAAAGAAAGAAAGGTGTAACATGAGGCATGCACTGAAATTTCTCCAGGAGCCAGGTAGATAAGCAAAATTGTGATTTATTCCAGCATGAAGAGAGGTTAAATCTATCCACAACCAGGCAGAAACACCTCACCTCATGAAGCAAAGTAGAGATTATAGCATTTTCTTATGTGATAGGATACAGAGAATTATGGGCTCAACTATGTTCAGCAATGTTTCGAGGTCAAATTTGCTGCTCTGGAGGTCCGTTTATGCAAAAAAACAATTCTTCACATGGGAGGAAAAAATGCTCACCTAATTAATACACTTGTGAATTGGTACTGTTTCCAGTCATTTTGCTTCAATTTTCACACATTTTCCACTGTGTTAAAATATTGCTTCCTTGAATTACACTTTCAACTCATACTGGAATTTCCAGAAGAAATTTTATTTCATTTTATTTATTTGAGAGAGAGACAGTGAGAGAGAGAAGGAGTTGGAAGAAGAGGGAGAGGTAGAAGCAGGCACCCCGCTGAGCAGGGAGCCCAATGCGGGGCTCGATCCCAGGACCCTGGGATCATGACCCGAGCCAAAGGCAGACGCTTAACCATCTGAGCCACCCAGGCACCCCATGGAATTTCCAGAAGAAACTGATACAATTTCAATCATCAAAATAAAGGTGATTCATTAACAAGCATCAATTATTAATTGTTATACTTTATTATCAGATTTCACACATCAGAAAAAATGCCTTGGACTTTTTTTTTAAAAAAACATTTTTATTCTTTTTTCTTTTAATTTTATTTATTTATTTGACAGAGACACACAGCGAGAAAGGGAACACAAGCAGGGAGAGTGGGAGAGGGAGAAGCAGGCTTCCCATGGAGCAGGGAGCTCGATGTGGGGCTCGATCCCAGGACCCTGGAATCATGACCTGAGCCAAAGGCAGACGCTTAATGACTGAGCCACTGAGGAGCCCCAAGATTTTATTTATTCATTTGACAGAGAAAGACAGCAAGAGAGAGACCACAAGCAGGCAGAGCAGGGGAAGAGGGAAAGGGAGAAGCAGGCTAACCGCCGAGTAAGAAGCCCCATGTGGGGCTCGATCCCAGGACCCTGAGATAATGACCTGAGCCTAAATCAGACGTTCAACCGACTGAGCCACCCAGGCGCCCCCAGACTGTATTTCCTATGGTTCTAGAACAGTGGACCCACAGAATGCCCTAGAGTGGAGTCTCTCAGCAGAGGCATACAGAGTCATCTGAAGAGTTTCTGAAAAATATGTCTGGGAACTACACGTATAGATTTGAGAAACATTCTGCTGTCAGATGTTGAGAAAAAGCAAAACTAACCTTGGAAATTCTGAGTCCATACCTATATATAATCACAGTAATCAAATTCTCTTTCTTTCACAAGCAAAGGGGAAGCTCAGAATAATTCTAGAAAAGCAAGGACAACAAATCACTTCTCTACTCACCTTTCTGGACTGGGCCTCTTTCCGTTTCCATGCACTTCCATGAGCAGCTCAGAAGAATCAGCAGGCGACGCAATACTTGTGCTGAGCAGAAGGTGTTCGTGCTGAGCCAGGTACTGGGATGGGGTCTGCTTGGCAGCTCGAGCGCAGTGCAGCAGTTCTCGCTGCAGCAGGGGCAGATTGGCCTTGAAAAGAAGAGGCAGGGGCTGGAAGGCAGTTTTCCAAGTGTTGGGCCCCACACAACAGGACTCAGCACCTGAACAGGCTTTAACAAAGAAGATGACACAAGACAAAAGCCCTTCTTTCCTTGTCAGCCTGATTTTTATATGCCTCTGTGAGTAAAGTGACATCTATAATACGGACCTTGAACTACTAGTTAACTTGACTCTTGCCCCCACAAGGTGTAAATCCCCTAATGGGGAAGACTGTGCTTTATTTACCTTTGTGACCTAGTACAGAGTCAAAGCTCAATGAAGGTTTGTTTAACACAGTAAATTAAAATTTTATACATTTTGGGGGCATTGGGCTTGAATCAGTTGGTACAGCATGCAACTCTTGATATGAGGGCCAAGAGTTCAAGACCTACGTTGGGTGGAGCAAACTTAAAATTTAAAAAAATAAAATTTTTTTTAACATTTTTGAAAAGGTCAATTAGAGAATTAGCCCTGTTGAAACAGGGGTAGGAGAAATTCACTCTTTCCTCTGTCATTATCAGTAAGTCTTGGTTTCGCTCTTTCAAATTCCACCGATCACTGGTAGTACTGCTCAACCTTCCTTTCATGTTCTCTAGGACAGCTGTCTTGGAATTCTGGAAGCATGAGACTAGGCTCTGAGGATGCACAGGTGACCCATGGGCAAAATCTATTTCTTATTGTGGCACCCTAGCTGGATATGTTTCCTTATATTGTAAAAGGGTAATTAACTATATACTGATTATATTTTCTTCTCAAACTTAGAAAACCTTTAATGGGGACAAATCATATAAAAAACCCTATAGAAAACCTTTAATGGGGACAAATCATATAAAAAACCCAATACATTTATAAACTTCACTCTAAGTCCTTCATATATAAAATGTTTCCTATATTGCTTTTATTAAAAGAAAATAATTATATTATTCTCCCCGAATTTAAGAAACAATTCAGACTGAGCCCATAACAAAACTCTTTATCTCAAGGGAAACAGATGAACAAATACAAGAGAATTTTAACACATGCAAGTAGTCATTCCTTTACCAAGGGTTAATTTAGGAGGCACCATAATTAGTGACTGTGTTAAAGCAGAAATAAATTGACAAAATCCAAATGTTAGCCAACGAACTGCCATAACAACCTACCTCATGCTGTTTTCCAAAATAACAGAGTTAAGAATAGGGAATTTGACAATATAAAACACTTCTTAAGTCTGTTCTATAACCTCAAACTTGTAGCAACTATTAAAAAAAAAAACTTAAAAAAAATACGTCAGATTTAAAAATCTGTGACATGTGCCCTTTGATGCAATTTTTAAAAATGTTAATTATTTCCTTTTTTAAAAAAAATTTATTTATTTGACAGCGAGAGAGAGAGACAGCGAGAGAGGGAACACAAGAAGGGGGAGTGGGAGAGGGAGAAGCAGGCTCCCCGCTGAGCAGGGAGCCCGATGTGGGGCTCAATCCCAGGACCCTGGGATCATACCTGAGCCGAAGGCAGATGCTTAACGACTGAGCCACCCAGGCGCCCCTTAATTATTTTCTATTAAAAAAATTTCACAAATCTTTCTTGGTTCCAGAGTCTTAGGGGAAATAATTGTCTATTAGCTCTGACATACAGCAAAGAGACGAAGATAGAACCAGCACAGCTGTTTCAGGCCTGAAAAAGGCGCTACAGACCGCTCTGAGAGGCGAGGTTTCAATCCTATCAGAACAGAGCCACACAACAGCCTGGGTACCTGACACCTACGCATTTTCCTGTTTGCTATACTCTAATTTTAAAACTTTTTTTTTTTTTGAGATTTTTGAGAGAGTGTGCACACGCATGCGAGCAGGGGGAGAGGCAGAGGAAGAGGGAAAGAAGCAGACTCCCTGTTGATTAGGGAGACTGACATGGGGCCTGATCCCAGGACCCCAAGACCAAGACCTCAGCTTAAATCAACAGTTGGTCGCTCAACTGACTGAGCCACCCAGGTACCCCTACTCTAATTTTAAAAGATTTAAGAAACTGGTATCAATACTTCTGTAACATGACCCATCTTTTTGATGCTATATATATACATATATATGTGTGTGTGTGTGTGGTTTTTCTTAAAATTTTATTTATTTGAGAGAGAGCATGAATGGGGTGAAGGGTAGTAAGGAGAGAAACAGACCCCCTGCTGAGTAGGGAGCCCAATGCAGGGCTCAACCCCAGGACCCCAAGATCACAACCTGAGCCAAAGACAGATCTGAACCACCCAGGTGCCCCACTATTATATTTTTTAAAAGATTTTATTTTTAAGTAATCCCTACACTCAAAATGAGGCTCAAATTCACAACCTCGAGATCAAGAGCTGCATGCTCCACCAACTGAACCAGCCAGGTGCCCCTATGCTACTGTATTTTTTTTAGGAAGTCAAGATAAAAGCAGGTAAAAAGGGCGTATTTATTTGGTCAGATATTTTAGGCTTTGTGAGTCAAGAAGCAAAACTGAAGATATTATGTGGGTAACTCATATACAAGAGAGAAAACAAATTTCTACAACACTGTTTGACAAAAAAACAATGTAACAGAAAATAATTTTTTGTAATATTAGTCTACTGCTAATAGAAAGAATGGAATTCATTTTGTTGGGGGGGGTTGGATTAAAGATAACATTTACCTTAGTTGGGGCTCAGAGTTGTGTTCCCTATCACAAATTGATTACAAATGTTCATCTATAAAAACTATTCTTCTTAGGGCACCTGGCTGGCTCAGTCAGTAGAGCATTTGATCTTGATCTCAGGATGGTAAGATTTTTTGTTTTGTTTTCTTTTGTTTTTAAGATTTTATTTATTTATTTGAGAGAGAGAGAATGAGAGATAGAAAGCACCAGAGGGAAGAGGGTCAGAGGGAGAAGCAGACTCCCTGCCGAGCAAGGAGCCTGATGCGGGACTCGATCCCAGGACTCCAGGATCACGACCTGAGCCGAAAGCAGTCGCTTAACCAACTGAGCCACCCAGGCGCCCAGGATGGTGAGTTTAAGCCCCAAACTGGGCATAGAGTTTAAAAACAATTCTCCTCTCCAGAGCTGTTTAAAACCATGTAGTGAGCTGGATTTGGGACACAGGTTTCCAAACTATGCCTGGTCTAGAGCACACTGGTATTTGACTCTTGTCTTTCATTGCCTTTTAGCTAATTTATATCTTTGCTAATTAAAAATAATTGATAGCAATGCAAAATAATTGGTATCTATGAACATGCATAAAATTATGTCCAGTAGAGGTTAAACTAACTTCCCCTGACCACTCTATAGAAGCCAATTTTACTTCTCTTCACACATTCATATTAATAATCCTGACCTAGAGGGCGCCTGGGTGGCTCAATTGGTGTCATGATCTCAGGTCCTGGGATCAAGCCCTACATCGGGCTCCCTACTCAGTGGGGAGTCTGCTTCTCCCTCTCTCTCTGCACCACCCCCTGCTCGAGGTCTCTGTCACTCTCTCTCTCAAATAACCATTAATAAATAAATAGATATAGAAAGATTTTTTTAAGTAATCTCTACACCCAACATGGGGCTTGAACTCATAACCCTGAGATCAAGAGTCACACGCTCTACTGACTGAGCCAGCCAGGCACCCCTCAAATATTTCTGAAGAAAAGATAAGTAGAAGACAAAGAGAATAGTAATACAGATGTGATGAAATACTAACATTTGGAGAATGTGAATGAAGATATGGTACGGTATACAAGAATTTTACTGTACCATTTTGCAACTTTTCTATGAGTCTGAAATTATTTTAAGATTTTATTTATTTGAGAGAGAAAGAGAGCATGAGAGAGGGAAGGTTCAGAGGGAGAAGCAGACTCCCCGCTGAGCAGGGAGCCTGATGCGGGACTGGATGATGGGACTCCAGGATCATGACCTGAGCCGAAGGCAGTTGCCCAACTGACTACTGAGCCACAAGGTGCCCCTGAAATTATTTTCAAATAAATTTTTTAAGAGGGAATATTAGATATAAAGTTAATACTGCCTGATTTCTCAGGTAGTTATAACAATTCTGAACAATGTCTCCCAAAAGTTATGTTCTAGGGAACATGAATTCCAGAGGACATGATTAGAAGCTAGACTAACTGGGGTTGGGGAGACAGCAACACTGCCTTCCCACATGCTCTTCTGTCCTTAGGATAAGTGGGAAAAACACACACACTTCACCCCCTGGCCACACACGAAAGATTTAGTGCCCAATTACTTCCTCTGCTAAGAGCCTAGTCTCCACACCATCCCCACACTCACCTCCAGCCCACTCATTTGCTACCCCCACCTGCTCCTGTGTGTTACCAGGAATATCTGCATATGGATCACAACTCAAGGCTTTTGCAATTCTTATGCCACCAAGTATAAGTAAGGCTTATCTGCAGACCACTCACATTTCTCTAGCAGACCCAAATAAAGTAAGATACGAAAACATGGCAAGCCACCCCGAGATCACAGAACAGGGATCAGCAGCAGATCTTGAGGAAATGCTGAAGATAAATTACATTCAGTAATTATCTCATAAAATTTACCTTGAGGAATGGAATCACAAAAGGACGAAGAGGAAAGTTTGTAGCCTCTTGGAGCTTGCAATGGAATTCTTCAATTGTTACTGTTGAGTTCTGAAAAGATAAATAACATCCTCAACATCTAAAACTGGATACTGTCCCCTTAATATAAATCTAATTCTGCTAAATCACATAAAATCAAGGAAAAGGATAATTCTAAGAACACTACTATAAACTCAGATCCCTCTCAAAGATTAACCAAATTCTGTTTCCCTTATGAAAGAAATTTGGCCTCATTCATTTTCTTTTCTCTTGTACTCCAACAAATCTAAATTCTCCTCTGTACTCAGTGGCAGCCTGGGGGGCAGAATAGGTTATTCCCTTCCTCGCTATTTGGGAAGAGAGTCACTCAGGTCCTTTGTATTGAGGAGTTCAGGGAAACTCATCTCAGGTACAGAAAACTAACCCTACAATGTTCCCTTATGGAACAATCCTGAATGAGTCTAAGATATCAACTTCTTTCCTCACTGGTTCTGCCCTCCTTCTAGCATCAGTTTCCTAAATCCTCTAAATAGAAGTTAAAAAAAAAAAAAAAAAAGAAAGAAAGAAAGAAAGAAAAAACAAAGCAGAACAATAGGTGCCTTCTACCTTCAAATGGTCGGCTTGCATATTACAGTACCTGGAAACAGACAAACTCATATTGGGAAGGTTTTAATTTCCAATAAGGTTATTAGCACTTCCCCTGTATTTTTCCAACAGTGTAGGTTTTTGATTTTGTTTTTTGTTTTTTCAAATAGGATCCATGCCCAGTGTGAAGCGCAGTGAGGCACTTGCTTGAATTCACAACCCTGAGATCAAGACTTAACCAGACATCAAGAGTCGGACGCTTAACCAGCTAAACAATCCAGGAGCTCCAACAAAAGTCTAGCTTTAAATAGGATTGTCAGCTCCTATGCTAAGGGGAATGTACAAATAAAATTATTTTCTTCAAAGTTCACAAAGTATTTTTATTTCAATTCCTTAAAATACAGTGTTAATAACGAGTTAAAAACAAAACAAAACTGAGCATTAATCTGAATTCTTGCTTCCCTGAAAGAACAACTACCACTTCTAGGGATTTATTTTTATAAAATCATCAGGAGTTCAAGGATGTTAACAAGTACTCTACAAATTATTTCAGTACAATATTGTTTTTTTTTTTTTTTAAGAATTTATTTATTTATTTATTTGACAGAGAGAGAGAGAGAGAGATAGCGAGAGCAGGAACACAAGCAGGGGGAGTGGAGAGGGAGAAGAAGCAGGCTTCCTGCCGAGCAGGGAGCCCGATATGGGACTTGATCCCAGAACCCTGGGATCATGACCTGAGCCGAAGGCAGATGCTTAACGACTGAGCCACCCAGGCGCCCAGTACAATATTGCTTCTTAACAATAAGAAATAGAAAGCATGTAGGTTGACTACCAGGAATCTGCATTTAAAACTTATGGTACAGGGGTGCCTGGGTGGTAGAGTCTGTTAAGCATCTGACTCTTGGTTTTGGCTCAGGTCGTGATGTCGGGGTCACGGGGTAAAGTCCTGTGTTCGACTCAACATGGAGTTGGCCTAAGATTCTCTCTCCCTCTGCCCCTTCTCGTCACTCTCTCTCTCTCTCTAAAATGAATAAATCTTAAAAAAATTATGGTAGTCCTACATCAGAATATTAAGGGAGGGGGGACAGATCTGTATGCATTAATAAGGAAATGTGTCTATAACATACTGCTAAATGAAAAACCAGAAGAATAGTATGGTTTTCTATAAGTCATTTGTGGAAATCACACATACATTTATATACTTTTTTTTTTTAAGGTTTTTTAATTGATTTGACAGAGAGTACAAGCAGGAGGAGTGGCGGGCAGAGGGAGAGGGAATAAGGAGCTCCCTACTGAGTAAGGAGCATGATGCAGAGCCTTGATTCCAGGACCCTGGGATCATGACCTGAACCGAACGCAGACACTCAACTGACTGAGCCACCCAGGTGCCCCTATATAGGCTTTAAAGTGTCTGGAAAGACAATTACAACAGCAGTTATTTCTGGATATGAAATTATGCTGGATTTTTGAAATATATCATGTTAATATTCAGTAAAAATTAAGAGTATTTCCTCTTAGGGAAAAAGTATATCAAATTTAACCATGTTAAATGAAAATATTTGAACTGTACCTCATTTCACACCAAGATGATTTATTTTTTATTTTTTTAAAATGTTTTTTTTTTTTTTTTAAAGATTTCATTTATTTATTTGACAGAGTGAGAGAGCACAAGCAAGGGGAACAGTAGAGGGAGAGGGAGAAGCAGGCTACCCGCCGAGCAGGGAGCCCGATGCAGGGCTCGATCCCAGGACCCTGGGATCATGACCTGAGCCGAGGCAGACGCCCAACACTCTGAGCCACCCAGGTGCCCTGAGATGATTTATTTTTTAAAAGATTTATTAGAGAGAGAGAGAGAGAGAGAGAGAAAGAGTGCGTGAACTGGGGGGGGGGTGGCAAAGAGGGAGAGGGGAAGCATACTCCCGATTGAGTGCAGAGCACCATGCGGGCTCAATCTCACAACCATGAAATCATGACCTGAGCTGAAACCAAGGGTCAGATGCTTAACAGACTGAGCCACCCAGGTCCTCACCCAACACCAAGATTCTTTTAAGATTTAACTGATTCTCTGTTTTAAGTACATGACATTTATACAATGCAACCAAAGGTACGGCTAATCGGGAATAAAAAGAACATTCTTTCTCTACTGCAATGAATGCAATCAGGCTCAAAAAGTAAACACGAATAGAGTAAATACATGAAAAAAACTGTATGAATGATTTTTAAATTTTCTTGTGGATGGACAAAGAAGGGAAAGAATGAGTTGTGTGGCCAGAGAAACAGTGACGTAAGCCAGAGAAACAGTGACGAAGGCCACAGAAACTGACACAGGACGATATATACTGTATATGCAAGGCAATCCTCTATCTGAGAGGGATGATAAGCCACTGTTCCATTATCTTTCCCTCTCCTTCAGATAATTAATAAGAGCATGGTTGTTTTTTTGTAAGAACTCACAGTGTAGCAGGAAAACAAGCAAGCTATTCATCACAGTATGATCAAGACATACGTGAGCAGGAGACGACTGGCACACAGAGAAGACATGCTTGAATCAGACTTAGGGGGACAAGGAAGGCTTTACAAAAGTGTCCACCCTAAGAAGTGAATATGCAGCCTTGGGAAAGATGCTTCTGACAGAGAGAATATAAAATATCAGGGGATCTGGTCTCTGGATCACAAGGACAACACCTACAGTGGTCTTAGAAGACAATGGGTATAGATAGGCCATCGATTAACTTTTATCTTTTAAAATTTTGAGATAAATATGATCATAGAAGTTATAAAAGCAATACAGACAGGTTCCCCCACTGGTTACATTTTCTATACTTGCAATGTAGTATCATGAGGGAAGAACGTTGGTGAAATGTGTATATAGTTGTGTCACTTTAGTGCACGTGTGTATTCCACGTAATCACCACTACAGTCAAGATACAGAAGTGCAGACGGCGCCTGGGTGGCTCAATTGGTTAAGCATCTGCCTTTGGCTCAGAGTCCTGGGACTGAGCCACACATGGGGCTCCCTGCTCAGTGGAGAGCCTGCTTCTCCCTCTCCCTCTGCTGCTCCCCCTGCTCCTGCTTGTGCTCTCTCGCTAGCTCTCTCAAATTTTAAAAAGATGCAGTGTATAAACCTTATCTGTCTTTATGCTCTCTGGTTTAGAATTGTCTTACATATTTCCTTTATATATATAGACAACCATATCAGACAATGTTATAATTTTTGCTTCAACCACCATAGTTTAGAAAACTCAAGAAGGAAAGTCTATTGTATTGACTTTTATTTTTGCTCTTTCCATTTTTCATTCATCTACTGTGATATCTCAAGATTTCTTCTTTTATCATTTTCTTTCTGCTTCAGGAACTTCTTTTAGCCGTTCTTTTAGAGGAGGTCTGCTTAGAGACAGTTTCTTAGTTTTACTTCATCTGAGAGAATATTTTGATTGCTCCAGAAGTACATTTCTGATACATGTCAGATTCTGGGTTGACAGTTCTTTTCTTTCAGCATTTGAAAAAGGCCATTGTCACTAGAATTTTTCCTTTATAAGTAAGATGTTTCTCTCTTGCTGCTTTCAAGATTTTTTTGTCTTTTTTGGGGGACCTTGTTTGAGGTCTGTGTTACTTTTTTGAATCTGTAGATTTAGTCACATTTGAGCAAATTCAGTCATTATTTCAGCCCCATACTTTCTTCTGTCCTACTGTGACTCAGATCTTCTGTTTTATTCTTTTAGGTCCCTGAGGTTTAGTTCATTTTTTATAAGTCATTTTCACTCTATTGTACAGAATAGGTCATTTTTTTCTGTTGTTTTTCCTCTCCATTTCACTGCTGAGTCCATTGCTGTTTTTAATTTATCATATTTTTGTTCTAAAATTTCCACTTAGTTTTTCTATCTACTATTTTTTTTTTTTTTGCAGAGCCTTTGTATTTTTTCATTTCTGTTTATAATTGCTCACTGAAGCATTTTATGATGCTGTGCCAACACCTGTGTCAGTTGGTTGAAGTCTGTTGGTTGGTTGTTTTTTTCATTCCAGTTGAGATGGTCCTGGTTCTTCATATGGTTATTTTCTATTGTATCCTGGATATTTTGGGTTCTACGTTATAAGACTCTGGATCTTATCTCTGACTTCTGTTTTGGAAGTCTGACACTTGCACCATTGGAAAAAGGAGAATCCTTTTTAGAGTATAATCCCAGGTCCCCACTCAACCTCTATTGATTGGGAGAGGAGAAGAGGGACACATTATTGCTGGGAAGGGGTGAGAGTTTGGGTTTCCCACTGGGCCTCTGATGGGAAAGGGAAGCCTACCCATTACTGCAGTTCTTCCTAAGGTTTTGGCTGCTATAGTGTGCTTATTGTCTGAAAGTTTTCGACCTTGCTTGGTTGCTTCTTTCGTGGTCCTTGCAGGAAAAAGGGTTTTCATTATTATTGTAGTTAGTGCTCCTAAGTGTTTCCAGGTTACTAGCTTCTACAGACCACAGTCCTGGATATATGATGAA